CTTTTTTGACGGCAAATTTGGGTGTACTGTTTTTTTATGTTGGGGGTGCGGCTTATAGTCCGAAAAATACTGTAATTTGAGTCAAATTTTCAGGCTAACAAAACAAATAATCTTACACATTCTGAAAACAAGATGATTATTCTTACACAATCAGTTCTTGTTTAGTAAATCAGTCTCAAAACAAGATCAAAAAGACTTTTTGGCTGATATAAGATTTTAAAACTTGGTAAGATGAAGAGTTTTTGCAGTGTGCTTTCTGAACGGGGCCCTGACTGTCTCCACAGTTGTTTTTTTATTTTTATTTTTTTGTAATTTTATTTTGAAAGGATTAGGCGGATGGGCGCGGCCTAAAGCTCTACTCTCTCATTGGCCAGCCCAGGCCGGCTCTCATCCATTGGTCAGTCGGCGCTGGCTCTCTGTTTTGATTGGTCGGCTCCCCTCTACCAGCGCAGTGGAAAGAGGACGGCTCGTGTTAGTCTCAGAAGTCATCATGGCGCTCACTGCCCGAAGCAAAGGTAAATGAGATCATTTTACGAAGCTTTCATTGATACCTGGGGTTGAATGGACGTCGTCAACCGGCCGGTGACAGCTGTTGTAAAACAATGTTTTACCTATGAAAAGTATTGCTGTTTTCAAAGTGATCATATTAGGTCAAATGTCCCGGCCTCAGTCATTGTCAGACAGAAAGCTACTTGATGCTAGCGGTAGTCGCTAACTTTGCTAATAATGCCCCGAGTTGTTGTATTTTCCTAAATGTCACAGCTGCTACCTCCGCTGCTTGCCTTTTATGATAAGTACTGTGGTTGTTCTTATCTCTTCAGGGCGTTCAGCTACTTGCTTGATAAGTACGTTTTAAAGTCGTGCGTTTCACGATAAGGAACTAAGCTAGCAGCTTTAAGCTTTTAGCGTAGTGCCTCTGTTGTTCACCTTTCCACCAACACCTGCCGAAAATTCCCAACAGGAAGTCGTCCCGAGATAACTTAAATAAAACTGCACAGCTAAAATTAGTTGTTTGTGTTGCTGTAACATTTGCAGGTGTTGTGTTTACCATAGTAATACAGGAAAAAACTCGTCAAAATACACGGAATCTAGATTCTTTAATAGTTTTTCATGGAGTGTCACATGTTCACGAAAGGTTTATCTTCAGTAGAATTCACATCATTTTGTCTGTTCGTCATCCGAACTGCCTCCAAGTGTAAGAGTTTATTTATTTTACTTAAAAGTATTAACAGGAGGAGTAGCTTAAATCTGTAATGCCTGTCATTGTGGCAGGAAAATGATTTGTAACATCAAACAAGATATCTTTAGACTAGAAGTAATCAAATTAGTAGACACAAAAAAGTCACATTATGTTAGATGTTGTGTATTTCAGGTTCAACATATTTTAGGGGGTGAGGGTGTAAAGGTAAACCTTTGTGTGTTGACACTTAAATTACCCCCACACCCTCACTGCAAAAACTGTCCATCTTACCAAGTTTTAAAACCTTATATCAGCCAAAAAGTCTTTTTGATCTTGTTTTGA